GTTGAAGCACACATCTTCTGCTTTGTCTTATAGCATATTTTTGTATATTATTCTTGTCCACAATTTTTCTTCAAATATGTGTCCATTGGCTAGTCCAGAGTTAAACAAAAGAATAAAAATACCTCTTGGATAAGGCAAATAATTATCTCCAGGTTTATCTGCTTAAAGATACAAATTGTTTTCACATTTACTAAGAATATGGTTTACCTATGCCCAAGGTGTATGGCAACAACTCTCATGCGGCAATTTAAACAGGGCTGATACTGGTTTTCCTCCACAAATGGAAGATTGAGGCACAACGTTAAATCATTTATTCCAGGTTAATGGCAAAAGGGAAAACAAAACTACGAAATATAGCTACTGAAACTCCTGTTCAGCATTCTATCCTCAGTATGACTGTGTTTCTTTTTGTGTGTTTACTCTGCAGAGTAATGTATTTTATTGTGCAATGTGTATGTTTCTTATTCATTATAAGAAAGTGTTCTGAAATATTGGTCCTGCCTTCTAACACAACATTAATAATAATTCATTCTTAAGGACTATGTTTTATTTATAATACTGATTTTATATGTATTCATATATATGTACATATTAATATTCTGAAACTACATATATAGGTCCAGAAATAGAAGTTTTTGTTCAAACTTAGGATAGAAATGCATTTAACTATATTACAAAATTTTCTACCACCAGAAGACGATATACTCCAGCTTTAAATGATAAAACTAATGTATATTAAACTAAATTTAATTTAAATTACAGAATTTTTTCAACTGGAAAAGATCCTAGTTCAGCCCCCTTAAATTGCAAAAATAGTATTTTCCCTTTGCCATCCATTCCCAAACAAAATCATTTAAGTTTAATCCCAGACAACCATAGAGGAACCAGTTGCCCATCTGTCTGTCTGTCTATCTATCTATCTATCTATCTATTCCTTCCTTCCTTATATTTATGAGAGAAGCCACCTATTGGTAATGGTTGATTTATATTCTTTTACTCTGAATTCCTACTTTTAAATCCAATTCTTAACCACCACCATAATTGCTACCACCCCCTACTCCTCAGTCCCTCCCACACTAGTTTCAATCCCTTGACATATTTTCCTTGCAGGGATGATCCTCTTCTTTATCCTTCATTGGTCTTTCATTCTGCAGGCTCTTGCCTACTGCCATCTGCTAGACCCAGTGTCTCCTCCAAAGATCTTTTCCACAACTCTTCATGTCCCAGTCTAGACCTCCAACCAGTCATATGGACCTCCTCAGAAAATTCAGCATCTTATTACTTTATCCTGCAGAGTAATTTAGTTTCTCTTGGTCTTTTCCTCTTCAGCCCAAATTAGGCATAGAGTCTTTTTTAATCATTATTATTTTTATATTAAAAGGAACATAAATCGTCTTCCCAAATAAAAAGGGCAATTACATTGAGGAGTAATTTTCAAACTTTTTAGCAGAAGAAAATGACAAAGGAACAAAGCTAGAACTGGCCATAGAAAGGCTACAACTCTGAATATGTGTTGCTGAAGCAAGTACAGTGAGGCTGCAACTCTGAGTGACAATCCAGTGGGAGAAGGATTCCTCTGACCTCTTAAAGTAGTGATTCTCAGGTATCTAATATTCTCAGGCATATTAGAATCACCTGGGGAGCTTTTCAAGCCCATCAATGATCAGCCCCAACCCCAGTCCAATTGAATTGGAATCACTAAGGAAAGGGGTCCATTGCTGTATGTCTTAGAACTTTTACAGCTCATTTTTTAAAATTGTGAAATGATCATTACAATAAATCGAGTTAATATCCATCACCATAAATAGTTAACAGAATCTTTTTCTTGTGATTAAAACCTCTAAGATCTACTTTCTTGGCGACTTTTTTTTTTTTAAGGTTTTATTTATTTATTTGTCAGAGAAAGAGAGCATAGACGGAGGAAGAGTAGAGGGAGAAGCAAGCTCCCTGTTAAGCAAGGAGCCTGATGTGGGACTCCATCCCAGGACCCTGGGATCACGATCTTGGCAACTTGCAAATAACCAATACAGTATTATTAACTCTAGTCACCACTTTTGCAGTTGATTTTAATGTGAAGACAGGGCTAATAACTGCTGGGTTAGGTGAATGAAATATGTAGTCATGACTATTACAGGTCAAACTGTAGCCAGTTTTTGACATGGTTTTTCTTCTGTTCTTCTGAGGCCCAGAGGGGCAAAGTAAATTGAGTAAATTCAACACAAGAATTGATAGCTAAGTAGACACTCTATTTTGATCCTCTGATATCCAGACAAGCCTTCTTCTTTCCACTGCACCAGGCTCCTACAATATAAACTTAGCATGCTGCAAAGTACCACATTACATACATATTTTGTTACAGTAGCCACTTGTGATTAGTCACATGACTCTATGTATACTTGTTGACATACTTTTTAGAATGCTCATCAAAGGCAGTTGTTGAGGTTGAAATGTTTATACTCCTAATTGGTCAGGCTGTTTAAGATCTAGCAATGCAATGTCTTGCAATAAGTAGGTAGTAGTAGTGTTATTGTCATAATTGTCATTACCAACTGATGAAATCAAAGTACAAACAGAGAAGGGGTACAAAGCATAGCGGGAAGTACTCTGTGATTCTGATCTCACTGCAATATCTGAGTGCTGACTTGTACCAAGCGGAATCTGTGGGAATGGAAGTGAGCAATATTTACAGCATCTGTATAAGTAGATAGCAGAACTGGTAGCACAGGTTCAGAATGGGTAGAGAAAAGCTATGTTCAGTTTGTTCCCTTATTTATAGATGAAGGCAAAACTATGCAATATGTTGAGATGCAGAGCTACAATTAGAAATTGGGTTGCCTGATCATCACTGGAATGCTTTACCAACTCCACTGTGATGTAGCATGGAGTGTCCCTTAAAGCATTCCTTATAAAGGAAGGGAGAAGAAGGGAGAGAGGGAGAGAGAGAGAGATCATTTATATTTATTGTAATCAATCCATCAAAGTTGTCTCATCCTAATATCTGAATTTAATTTCAGGTAGTCTGAAAAAAGAACCCAGACTTTTGAACTATCATACAAAATTACTTCCCCAATAATATTTAATAATATTAATAACTATATATAATTTTAATCTGTCAATCTCATAATTATATCATAATATTAATTTGATATGAGGTTTAACCATTGGCCTATCAGGGCTAGAAATATAATCCTTCCAAGATAGTATTTGATCCCTGAACAGCTTTGAATTGTGGGGATCCACTTATATAGAGATTTTTTTTATAGTATAGTATTGTAAATATATCTCCTTTCCTTATGATTTTCTTAATAACATTTTTCTTTTCTCTAGCTCCCTTTATTTAAAAAATACAGGAGATAATACATATACCATACAAAACACATGTTAATCAATGTGTATGGTATTGGTAAGGCTTCCAGTCAACAGAGGGGTAGTAGAAAAGTCAGATTATACTCAGATTTTTTACTGTGTTAGGGTCAGCGTCCCTAACTCTGCATGTTCAAAGGTCAACTGTATTTAGATCATTGAGACTGTAGGATAAAATAAGGGTGAGAGGAGTTTTTGAAAGTTTCCTCCTGTTTTCCCAGAGGCATGGAGAGAATTATTCTGTACAAAGTGCCTTGGGCTCTTCGAATGAGAGCTACCATAACAATATAAATTTACAATTGTTTTGGACATAAATAGGAACAGGAATTCTAGTAGACTAGTAACTAATACAATTCTGAATTTTGAGGGTAAAATCCTGTACTCTAGGGGCACCTGGGTGGCTCAGTCAGTTAAGTGTTTGCCTTCAGCTCAGGTCATGATCCCAGAATAAAGCCTCACATCAGGCTTCCAGCATAGCAGGGAGTCTGCTTCTCCCCCTCCTTCCCACTTGTGCTGTCTCTCTGTCTCTCTCTCTCTCTCTCAAATAAATAAAATCTTTTTAAAAATTAATTAATCAATTAAGTCCTATTCTTCTTATGTCAATTTTGGATGTTATAATTACAAACCAACTAAAAAATATTTCATTATAGCAATCTAGTAATCTTGTTTGCCATATACCTAACAGTGTGTAGAGCTTTTCTCTCCCTCAAAACAAAGATCTCATAACCAGTAATCACCAATGTTAACAGGCCCTTGCTGTAATATTTAATTTATGGGGGAAAAAAAGAAAGAAAGAAAATCCAAACTGCTGCCTTAGGCTGGCAGTCTGTGGCTCAGCTTCTCTGCATTTTAACCAGCCTAAAGTATTAAATATTTAGGCTCAAGGGATCTTTGATAGTTTAGACCCAGCTGTAATATTGGCTTAACAGTCAGGAAAAATAACTTTCCACCTCAGAAGCAAAATTAAAGCAACAATCATTAAACAGTATAGCTGAGTGTTGTAACTTTGAACTACAATTCAAACAGAGGTGTACATTTTCCCATTGTTTCAAATTGTCAATAATTAAAGTCATCATTTAATGTAGTTTACGTGGCAACCATTAAATAACCCAAGTATGGAAATGCCTAATAAACTGTATAAATGTATTTTATTGATACACAGTTTTTTTACATAACTCTATGTGTACATATAAATACACCTCATTAATCCAGACACCACTAATTTATAGAGTGGATTAATACAGACACTGGGTATTTTTGAAACAGTTCAGACACAGAATTTCTGTTTGGATTAATGATGCAGCATTTAAATGAGTTGAGAGCTGAAAGGGAAAGAGGAAGAAGCTCATTGTCTTAAAGATTCTTTTAGGTTAGCTTTTTATAACTGGATTACTGTTTTGAAATTAAACTGTTAATTGCAGGTTATGTTGAAAGTCACTGAATGAAAAGTATTTCAGAAGAAGAATAGCATAGCTGTTAGAGTGAACCTACCAGGATTGAACTGTAGCTGTGCCACTCATGTAGCTGGGTAACCTGTATTTAATGAAATACTGCTTTAATGAACCAAAGAGGGAAAGTACTAGGAATTCAGGCTGCTCAAAAATCTTGACACGTGATTACCATATACACAGACTTACCTAGACTCTGACTCAAGTAGACAATGATTCATTAAATAATAGAACTCAAAGTATCCATGATACTCAGGTGTTGATTCCACAAATAACCTCCATCACTTGTTCAAAGCTATACTAAAACAAAGTTGCCTGTGGGGATAAAAAGGTAGGATTTGGGGCCTACAAAGGCTTGAAGAACCATGTAATTTTGGCAAGTCATTGGACATCTCTGAGCTCCATTGTCCTTCATTAGTAAAATGGAGATAATACAAACTCTTGTTTGTTAGAAGGATTCAATTAAACAAAATAATGCTTTGATAAATAAAACTTATATTGATAGGAAGGTAATGATATCAGCATAATTTTTAAAACAAACATTTGATCTAACTAAGAGAAGATGTTTTAGTAGTAATCATTTGAACACAACTAGGGTCTTGAAATTCAGATAATCAACTTTTTTTTTTTTAAGTGAAAACAGTGGGATCTGTTGACCTACTCTAGGATTATTTACTGGTTGTTAAATAAGCTATATTATTCATAGTCTTTGCAGGTCCAAATTCAAAAAGTAAATAATTTGTTCCAAACCACGTAACTAGGTAACATCCCAATTGTATTAGTGAGGGTTCCCCAGAGAAACAGAACCAATAGGAGATACATACATGTATACATTTGTCATAATGTATAGATTCAAGTGATAATTGATCCTGAGAGGTCCTACTATCTGCCCCCTGCAGGCTGGAGACCCAGGAAGGGTGGTGGTCTATTTCAAAACCCTGAGAGCCCAAGAGCCAGTGGTATATTCCGTCCAAGTCTGAAGGCCTGAGAACCAGAGGTGCCAAAAGCAAGAGCAGATTCATGTCCCACCTCAAGCAGTCAGGCAGAGAGTGAATTTAACTTTCCTTTGCCTTTTTGTTATTTTTTTTAAACTTTATTTTATTTTTTCAGTGTTCCCAGATTCATTGTTTGTGTACCACACCCAGTACTCCATGCAATGTGCCCTCCTTAATATCCACAACCAGTCTCACTTATCTCCCTATCCCCCTCCCCTCCAAAACCCTCAGTTTGTTTCTCAGAGTCCACAGTCCCTCGTGCTTCATCTCCCCCTCCGATTTCCCCCAATTTTCCTTTCCTTCTCCTAATGTCCTCCATGTTATTCCTTATGCTCCACAAGTAAGTGAAACTGTATGATAATTGACTTTCTCTGCTTGACTTATTTCACTCAGCATATTCTCCAGTCCCATCCATGTTGATACAAAAGTTGGGTATTCATCCTTTCTGATGGAAGCATAATACTCCATTGTATATATGGACCATATCTTCCTTATCCATTCATCTGTTGAAGGGCATCTTGGTTCTTTCCACAGTTTGGCAATTGTGGCCATTGTTGCTATGAACACTGGGGTACATATGGCCCTTCTCACTACATCTGTATCTTTGGGGTAAATACCCAGTAGTGCAATTGCAGGGTCATAGGGTAGCTCTATTTTTATTTTCTTAAGGCATTTCCACACAGTTTTCCAAAGTGGCTGCACCAACTTGCATTCCCACCAACAGTGTAAGAGGGTTCCCCTTTCTCCACATCCTCTCCAATGTTGTTTGTTGTTTACTGTCTTGTTGATTTGGGCCATTCTAACTGGTGTAAGGTGGAATCTCAAAGTGGTTTTGATTTGAATCTCCCTGATGGCTAATGATGATGAACATTTATTCATGTGTCTTTAGCCACTTGTTTGTCTTCTTTGGAGAAGCATCTGTTCATGTCTTCTGCCCATTTTTTGATGTGATTATCTGTTTTCTGGGTGTTGAGTTTCAGGAGTTCTTCATAGATCTTGGATATCACCCCTTTGTCTGGAGTGTCATTTGCAAATATCTTCACCCATTCCGTGGGTTGCCTCTTTGTTTTGTGGACTGTTTCTTTTGCTGTGCAGAAGCTTTTGATCTTGATGAAGTCCCAAAAGTTCATTTTCACTTTTGTTTCCTTTTCCTTTGGAGACATGCCTTGAAAGAAGTTGCTGTGGCCAATGTCGAAGAGGTTACTGCCTATGTTCTCCTCTAATATTTTGATAGATTCCTGCCTCATGTTGAGATCTTTTAACCATTTCGAGTTTATCTTTGTGTATGGTGTAAGAGAATGGTCAAGTTTCATTCTTCTATACATAGCTGTCCAATTTTCCCAGCATCATTTAATGAAGAGAATGTCCTTTTCCCATTCGATACTTTTTCCTGCTTTGTCAAAGATTATTTGACCATAGAGTTGTGGGTCCATATCTGGACTCTCTACTCTGTTCCACTGGTCTATGTATCTGTTTTTGTGCCAGTACCATGCTGTCCTGGTGATCACAGCTTTGTAGTAAAGCTTGAAATCAGGCAACATGATGCCCCCAGTTTTGTTTTTCTTTTTCAACATTTCCTTAGCAAATCGGTCCTCTCTATTGATGTAGAAAAAGCATCTGACAAAATACAGCATCCATTCCTGATTAAAACTCTTCAGAGTATAGGAATAGAGGGAACATTCCTCAACATCATAAAATCTATCCATGAAAACCCCACACCGAATATCATCTTCCCTGGGGAAAAGCTGACAGCCTTCCCTTTGAGATCAGGAACAGGACAAGGATGCCCACTCTCACCACTGTTGTTCAATGTAGTACTAGAAGTCCTAGCAACAGCAATCAGACAACAAAACGAAATAAAAGGTATTCAAATTGGCAAAGAAGAAGTCAAACTCTCTCTCTTCACAGATGACGTGATACTTTATATGGAAAACCCAAAGGACTCCACCCCCAAACCACTAGAACTCACAGAGTAATTTAATAATGTGACAGGATACAAAATCAATGCACAGAAATCAGTTGCTTTCTTATACACTAGCAGTGAAAATATAGAAAGGGAAATTAGAGAATCAATTCCACTTACTATAGCACCAAGAACCATAAGATACCTGGGAATAAACCTCACCAAAGAGGTAAAGGATCTGTACACGAGGAACTACAGAATACTCATGAAAGAAATTGAAGACACAAAAAGATGGAAAAGCATTCCATGCTCATAGATAAGAAGAATAAACATTGTTAAAATGTCTATATTGCCCAGAGCAATCTATACTTTCCTCTGCCTTTTTTTTTTCTATTCCCTTTTTGTTCTATTTCCTCACCAGATTGATACTCACTCACACTGGGGACTGTAACTTGCTTTAGTCAGTCTGCTGATTCAAATGTTAATCTCTTCCAGCAACACCCTCACATATACCTAAAAATCATGCTTATCCATCTATCTGGTCATCCCTTGGTGCAGTCAAGTTGACACATAAAACTAACCATAACACCAAGTGTCTTGATTCCCAAGAATCAAAAATTTGATATGGAATCCCCTAATTTCTCCTCCTTTAGGTTCCCTTTATTTATTCCAATAGCAGAATCATATTTTTAAATGAAATCTTACTTACAATCACAGAAAAGTTGGAAGGGATCTTTTGCTTCTATCAACCCTTTGAGATCTTCTGCCCTTGAGACATCTTTCTGAGGAACTCTCAGGCTCTGTGTAATACAGATTGAAAACCCTTCTGTTCCACATTAATGTAGTTTTACAGTCTATTTGAGAAAATAATTAAAGAATTGAATATTCTTATTCACATTTGAAAGTAATAAATCTATTTGGACATTAAACTAAATTTAGCAAGGCTTCTTTTATTATTAATTATTGAAGGAATATCAGACACATGTATTAAACTTACTAAAAGGCTTGCTCTTCACGGAGCTATATGATAAAATATGACAAAAATCTAACTAATTTAGAAATGAATATATATTTTTCCTGTGATTTTCCAGCACTTTAATACCTTTTATGCCATATTTTATTTCTCCTAAAAAATGCTGATTAGAATATCATAATATGAGAATATATGTATACAGTTATATAGATCTTGCTCTTATATAGGTGTAAGAGAGCAAGCAAGAAAGAAAATGACTACCTAGTACAGTTAGGTTAGTACTAAGTCTTTTACATTTATTTTGTCACTTGATTCTCAAGTAACTTGAATATGCCTAGGCCTCAATCATGCATGGATAAGAATGAGGCTATATTAGTATTAATATTCAATCTTGTTCTGTTTTTCACCTATCAGCACAGAATTCCCAGTCCCGTTGATGTTGAGCATTATTTTTTGTGCTTACCTCCTAGCCATATAGGTTATTTGCTGAAATATGTGTTCAAGCATTTTGCCAATTGTTTAATTGGTTGTTTTCCTAATATTGACCTTTGAGAGTTCTTTATATAATCTAAATACAAGGCTTTTAGCAAATTTGCAAATATTTTCTCTATCTGTGTCTTTTCCTTTTGATCTCTTAGCAGTGTCTTTGAAAAAGCAGAAATCTTTAATTTTGATGAAATCCAATTTATCATCATTTTGGTGTATTATCTAAAAGTCTATGCCTAACCCTCATTATGGATCATAATTTCATACTTCTATGCATGCATTGTAATTTTTACTGGATGCAAGATACTATGATTTTTACCCTGTTGAGTGCTGAATATATTTGTAGATATTTTTAGCTTTATTCTAGGATGCAGTAGAGTTACTTGCAAGCAGTTTGACCCTTTCAAATCTAGCTTTTAAGATTTTTTAGGAAGGACTGGGGCAGTGTTTGGTCCAAGGCTATTTATTCCCAAAACTAAAGGAAGGCCTTTGTGCACTCTACCCAGTGCCATACTAATTATGAAATTTTCCAGTCTGGCAGGTAGAAACTGGTACTATTCCTCATCCTGTGTAAGTGCAGGCACTATTACCTTAAATCCTTTCAGGAAGTTATTTTCTGGGGCTCAAGTAATTTGTTCACTTGAAGACACTGATCAGAACCCTCCTAATTCCCAAGGGGAACCTTCTGCAGCTCTTCAGAGTTCTTTCTTTTTACAGGCCTTTCCTAATATCCTAATATTCCACCTGGCAAATTCTAATAACCTTTTCCTGGACTCTCAGCACTGTCTCCTCAACCCAGGGGTTCACTAGGTTCTACCTGGGTTTCCCTCCCTGCAGTGCAACCTGGAAACATTCTCAAGGCCCTAATATGGGGGTAATCATATAACTCACTTTGTTCAT